CCCCAAAACCCCAAAACCCCAAAACCCCGAATGTTTTATATAACTACTTTTTTTGAGAATCAGTAAAAAAGAATATATTGATTAAAGTCTTAGAAAGATAAATTAATAATTCAAGGTTTGATTAGATTTTTAATTTATAGAATCTAAAAAAATGAATAGCAGTAGTTCATCCTTTATGGACAAGAGGAAAAAGACAAACATCCTTAGAGCTATGACAACTAGGAAAAAAAGAACTTGGAGCTACAAGTTAGTTAAGAAATGGAGAAATCTCGATATGTATGGATAGAAGGTACATTTAACATACAAAGGTCATAAGAAATTTAAAACTTCCATTGGAGCATTATTTACAGTTATAACGAGAACACTCTTAGTACTTTTTATGGCCTATGAGTTATCACTTTTATATACCTAAAGTCATGCTATAAATAACACTAAGTATTTCATCAGGAATCCTAATTCTGATGCAATCAACTTAAAAGAGCATGGATTTGATCTTGCCTTTGGTGTAAGTAAAGCTATAGACGAGAGCTATGGAGTGTTTAAAGCATATCAAATTGAAACTACTGGGGTAACTTATAATAAAACTGGAAGAACGTTGGAATTAGGAATAGAGCCTTGTAAATAAGAGAAGAATTTTCTAAATTATGATGATGACATTTAGACATATGGACTTAAAAATTTTCTATGCTTATCAAGTTAAGATCTAGAATTATAAGGCTACCAAATGAAAAGTTAATTATACAAAAGTTTATAAATCAATTTAATCTAATGCTCAAATTCAACAGCTAATTCCATCAAATGTAAAACTTAAAAATAAATCGATGACTTTTTCAATAATTTATAGCTACAGATACTATTTGTGAATTCTAACTTTAATTTCAACAAAATCAATAATCCGATAGAATATTATATAGATGACTAGCTCTTGGAATTAGATCTAGAAAGTTAAAGAGTAAAAAAAGTAGATTTGTTTATATAGTAGGCTAAGACTTATGTGTATGAAAGCATTTTTATGTTTTGGGTGTCAAAATCAGAGTAATTTATAAGAGTAGAAAATATCAAGATTACTGATGATAATTTAGATATTGAAACTAAGATTGTTGCCTCATTAAATCTTAAGTTAGACAGAAGAAGTGTATAATTTGGTATACTTATTGATTTTCTAATTGGTGCTCTTGAGAAGATTGGAGGATTTAAAGAGGGAATAGTAACTTTAGGGTTTATCTTTGTTGCTTATTTTTAGGAACGACTATTCAAAAGTTCGATCTTTAGGTAAATATATTAGATAAATAGCAAAGCTTTTAAAGAGGATAAAAATCAAGAATAATCCAATAGAACAAGCACAGCTAAAATGAATGCTAATGATTAAGAAAAATTCTCATCAGTAAAAACTGTTAAGATCAATGACTCAGTAACAATGGATATTTTAGATAAAAAATAACCAGAAAAAAATAAAGATTTGGAGACCTTAACCAGTAGAGTACATCACCAGAATAAATTGACGAATGAGTAGTCGAATACAGTATTCAATGAGGTTATCGGTAGAAGTAGATTCATTTATAAAACTACAGATGTAATTAAATATTTAGTAAAATGCTTGTGTTGGAGGCGTTCTAAAAAGCTCAAAAAAGATCCGAACACCATTTAGCACTTTATGTACAAGAAAGCAAATGAGAAAATTGAATAGGAGCTAGACATAGTCAATTTAGTTAGATCTATTAGAAAGCTTAGATTAATGACTAAAGTAATGCTAACTCATAGGAGTAATATCCTTTTGAAGTTTTAGAGAAAAAATCTTATAGAATGTGAGAGTTCTTCATCTGATTCTGATCATCATAGGTTTGATACTATGAAACTTATGGACAGCAAGAATGAATTAGTAAAGTTATCTGTTGTCCAAAAAATAAAGAGGAATCTGAATAGTCTAACTGAAGTGAAGCTTGATTAAATAGATAAAAATTTAATAAGAGGACTTTATCATATTAAAACTTAGTAGAATGAGGAAAATACCACAATTACAGATGGTGATAGGCTAAACACGAAATTATTTTAGAAATTTGGAACAATTAATTTATCTAGTATGGAACATGATACCACTCCAATTAACACCTCATAAATGCCTAGTGGATTACCTAGATTACCAAGATTTAAAACTTTGCTTGATGTTTCTGAAACTTAAAATGATTTGTTCTAAGTAGAAAATAGTCCAAAAGTAAGTGTTCGTTAAAGAATGAGAAGCAGCAGATGGGAAGGGGAAAGTCAAATTATTGAAAACGATAGTAATATTAGTTAAAGAGACGATGACTTGATTTCGCCTAATAAGGAAATACCTTCAAGCAAAGGTGAATCACTTAGAGAGTTCGAAAATTGAATAAAATCTCTTTGAAATTACATTCTCATAGTGTCCAGTCCGAATTTGATCTACTTATATTTATTTATTTTGTCTGATTTATTTTTAATTTCTTTAATATAAGCATAATCTATTTAAATGGGGTTTTGGGGTTTTGGGG